AAAATAAATGAGCTTGCAGAGGTCAGATGAGCAATCTCCTTGGCAATGAATCTCATCCAAGAGTCAGCCTGGAACACTTTGACGAGTTCATCCGCGACGACTATGTGCCCGAGTTTATCAAAATGGAGGTATCCTGATAGCAACCTTAGCAATTGCTCAGCAACCTTAGCAACCTTAGCAATTGCTTAGCAACCTTAGCAATTGCTCAGCAACCTTTTTGACCCTTTCCTCCAAACTGATATCTATGAAACCGACTAAAATTGGGAGAGCCAACTTTCTAAAAAAGCAACTTACATCAGAAACTTCAGGAAAGAACTTTTCGACGATCATGGCACTAATGGCTCGTCCATCAACGCGTCAACCATGGCTACATTGGAGGGACGGCGGTCGGAGTGATCATCGCTGTGGCTCTCATCGGATTCGCCGTTCGTCGATACCGGAATCATTCCACTCACTCGCGCCTCGATTCACAATCGACTTTACAAGAGATTCACTAATAAATGACGGTTATAATAATTTGTAAACTGTTATAATACTGGGCAAGACGTAATCTCAGAAAAACGCTGAGTTCGAAGTTCAGACGGTTTCCCATGACACTCTGGACTAGTAGAGCTTAGTGAGTCATCGGTCTTGCTACCTAAAACAACAATCTTTCAAACCGTTGCGGGTGTACAGAATGGTCCACAATCAAGTTTGTGCTAAATTTAAGGCTTTGCAAGCAAAGATCAGCAAGCTTTTTCAATTAAAACACATCGTCAGAATCAATCAAAATGCCTGGTCGCTTGAATTTCTCTAAAAAACCATTTGAATTTTTTGAAATTTCAAATTAAAGGTTTCACCTTCAAAAGCAATCCAATTTTTTAAGCTCTTTCTAAAAGAATAGCAAAATTTCTGATTGATTGAAGCTGAAACGCAAAACTTCTAACTCTAAAAAGTTGATGAGTCGGAGAATAGGATTTCAAATTTTAACTGTTGTTTGACGAATTGTTCCAGGAGAAAAAGAAAAAGAGAAAGCTCAACTTTGATTTCAATTGAATTATTTATCTCCTTTCATTTTTGTTTTTGACTTTAAATCTTTCCCTTACAAATAATTCAATTGAAATCAAACTTGAGCTCTTTATTTAAAGATCTAAAACTATTAGGTTGGCAACTTAATAATGACGCGTTTATGTAACAAATCATTTATTTCAAAAAAACACAAAAGAAGAGCTTTCAATTCGAAAGGTATTCTCCATTAGTATCTATGACTTCTTCCCATCTTCTGCGCAAATCCCGGATTCCATCCTCGAAGAACTTGGGAGTTTTTGAGGCGAAGTAGTCATTCACTGCTTTGATGACCTGAGCATGATCATCGAACTTTTCTCCCTTCAAAAAGTGCTTCAGCGACCGAAACAAAAAGTAATCTGAAGGAGCCAGATCAGGTGAATAAGACGCGTGGGGCAAAACTTTCCAGCCAAGTTCCTCGATTTTCTTATAAGTGATCTTTGCAGTGTGAGGTTTTGCGTTGTCGTGTAAAAATCTGACTCTCTCCGGTTTGAGCCCCAATTTCTTCAAAGACTCGTTAACTCTCATTAATTGCTTCGAATAAAGATCAGCATCGACGGTTTGGCCAGGTTTCAGCACTTCATAATGCACCAATCCCTTGAAGTTTCATCAGTAACAGAGCATTATCTCCTTCCCATGGATATCAGGTTTGGGAGTGGTTTGAGGGGTCTGCCCAGCAGATAGCCATTGATTTTTGCGTTTAATGTTCTCGTAGTTGATCCACGTTTCGTCAGAAGTCAAAACCCTGTGAAAAAAGTCGTTTGATTTACATTTTTGTAGCAAAATTGAGGCGACATTTTGTTGCTTTGGGTCAGTTCGTGAGGAACCCATTTTCCAACTCGATTCTTTTTCCCAAGTTTGTGTAAATAGTTTTTGATTGTCGTATGGGATACTTCAAATATTTCTGCCAACTCACGAACGGTGAGTGTTGGGCAATCTTCAATTAAGGCGAGCAAGTCATCGTCGACCACTTCTGGAGGATGTCCTTGGTGTGGCTCGTCTACGAGGCTTTCATCGCCGCCTTGGAATCTTTGAAACCATCGTTGACATTGCCGAATGTGTATACTTTCCTCCCCAAAAACAGTGATGATCGTGCGATGAGACTCAGCTGGTGATTTTCCTTGTTTAAAATCGTAGAACAATGCAGCTCGAATACGGAATTTTTTGTCCTCCATTTTGCCAAAAAGCGAATGATGAAATTTGCAGCACTAAATTTTATTTATGCAGATATCTTTTACTTTGTATATATGCAAAAGAGGAAGAAACGGCGCTTGAAATTACAAAAAACATGTTAAGTAGTGACGCGTCATTATTAAGTTGCCAACCTAATAGTAATTATATTTCTGATAAGGCTATATTTCTCGCAAAGACAACAAATATCAATCAATTAAAAGTTGTTTCTTTGAGAGTTTGTTGTCAACAAGAATCTCGATTTTTTGAACACGAAAAATTGTTTTTCTTAGAAAATGATTTCTCTTTTCTCTATCAATAAAAAAACGATCTTTTCCATACCAATTGATCAACTGTTTTGAGAGAGAAATATAAAATTTCATTGAATTTTATGCTATATTTCTTGCAAAGACAACAAATATCAATCAATTTAAACGTTTTTAAACGAATTTTTTTGCTATTTGATTACTGCAGAAGGAAAGACTTATTGTCAAACTGGTTTTCTGATTTCTCGTCTAAGTTGCTCAAGTTGTGAGTTAAAAACTGGTTTTCTAAAAGAGTAATTGTAGAGTCACGGGATTAGAATGATTGGGAGTTTCCTGTGAATCCCAACTATCTGGCTTTACTGAAGGTATACAGGGTTTAAGAAAAGTTCTGTCACTTCCCTAAAGTTAGTCAAAGCTTAAAAACTGGATTTTGTTTCAGCTCAATGAAGAATATCATAAAAAATAGTAGAATTTTTAAACTATCTATTAGGTAAATGCATAAGAAATGCGGGTTTCAACATTTTCATAAATTTCCAACGATAGAAACCTGATATCGATGTTATAAACTGTTATAACTGTTATAAACTATTTGAAAGTTGTAAATCTCCTCTACAAAATAGGCTAAAACGTGTTTCAATTGATCGAACCATTGAAGAAATTTCGAGGGCGAAATGCGAGTGATCAAAAAAGGGCACTTTTTGAAAACCCCACTTTCACAAGAGTTCGGTTTTGACTATATAATGGAAAATGCCCTAAATTATCAATATCAATAAAAAATTATCAATAAAATATCATTCAAAATAATTAAGAGTTGGGATCATTTCATGGGAAAACTTTGTTTTTACAATAATTTTTCTATTTTGTGAAAAGCCGGTTTTTTGACAATTTTGAGGGTTTTGAACTTTCTGTTTTATCTAAATTTCTTTAAATGCATTTCCGTTAGACTTTTTTAATGAATTCATATATAGTTATCCTTTTTTTAAAAATCTTCAATTCTGGGAAGCTAACTCTATTTTGAACACACTAAACTTGTCCCTAAAGTGACTCGATTCCTTTTTTGGTCACTCGCATTTCGCCCTCGAAATTTCTTCAATGCTTCGATGAATTGAAACACGTTTTAGCCTATTTTGTAGAGGAGATTTACAACTTTCAAATAGTTTATAACAGTTATAACAGTTTATAACATCGATATCCGGTTTCTATCGTTGAAAATTTATGAAAATGTTGAAATCCGCATTTCTAATAGAATTAGAACTCGAATTTTGCAGTATTTACATCAATTATTTTATAGTTTTTCATAAATTGCTCAAGAAAAGCTAGTTTATAGGCTGTTAGTGAGTGAATTTTTGCTTCAATTCGATATATTCAAATTTTACATGCATTTCCCTTATTTCTATTGTTTATTCTAGGCGCAAAATCTCACAGATGATGCGTTTTAAACACTCTCTACGCACAAAACTTTGGATGATTTTCCTGGCGATAACTGTAAGTTGCTTAGATAATATTTTGACAATATATTTAGCCTCTCTTTTTTTCCTTTAATAACCCTTTTCCTCAAGTTTCAATAAAAGCAAAAAACTGAAAATAGAACCGTCGTTTTATAGGTCAGAGCGAATTATAGTGACAACTTTTTGGAAAACTAGGAAATGTCTAGCTTATTTCAAAAGTGGCAAGTGTTATATAGAGAATTGTAGTCCTAATTCTTGGCTACAATTATCTACCAAAAACTTCCCAATTCGGCTTATACAACTCATTTAACAAGCGCTTGAATGAGCGCTAATCGACACCACACCAGCAAACCTATCATTTGACCGCTTTTCTATATAAAATTTTGATTTGGAAACGTTTTTTTGGTCAAATTTGTGGTAATTTGGTTTAAAAGATTGTTTTAAATAAATTTATAGCGCTATAAAAGCTGATGTAACGAAATGAATATGAATTGAAAATCCAAAATACTCAATTTTCACCAAAAGGAGCTATGTATGTGTTTAAGTTGATGTCAATTAACTTAAATTTTCGTTATTCCAGTTCAACCAAAAGAGTTTAGTGTGTTTCTTAATGTTATTAAGTAATTCTAAACGCTATTTTTGTATTCAAACCTTTTCTTAACAATAGAGAAAAGCTCTTTAATAGAGAAAAGCGGTCAAATGATAGGTTTGCTGGTGTGGTGTCGATTAGCGCTCATTCAAGACATTTCCTGCTTTTCCAAAAGGTTCCGGTAATTCGCGATCACTTTGTTGAAGATGGGTCTGATTCGAGCCTGATTTGCTTGATTTGAGCAGCTTGATTTAAACCTTTTTTATAATTCTTTTATGCAAATCAAAGATGATTCTCCACTGCAGATCTCTGGAATAATCTTCTTCATCAGTCAATCACAACGGGATCGAGCGAGCGATTCCATGGCTCTATCAAAAGAAGAATTCTATCGATTAGCAGAGGCACAGTCGTTTGGTTTGACAGAAAAATTGACGAATAGTTCTGGAAACGTTTTTTGACAGCTAAAACAAGTTTCAGCATCAAATGAAAGTGCCCAAATTTCGTGGGAAATACTGCTGGAATGGCGAGTGTTTCGTGGTGAGCGATCTTTGGCGCAACACAACCGATCATCGAGCTCGAGTTGGAGCGTTGACCTTGTGAGTCTAATCTAGAGGATAAATCAAGTCTAATCTAGAGGATAAATTCATTTTCTATAGGCTAGAAAATGCTTTAGGCTATGTATGAATCAAATGGTAAAGAAAATTCAATTTTCCTTCTTTCTTTTCTCTCTCAATTGCTGTCCAAACCCTATAGAATACATTGTTTTTCGCTATTTCTTTTGCTAAACTCAATTAACTTAATAATAGGATTTGATGTGGACCCGTGGGATTTCCATAACAAACCATACACACCCTGAAATCGGAAATCAAAATCTAAGATAAGAAATAGCCAAACGTTCTCCATTGCAAGATATCATCAAAATGGTTGATTGATTTTTACCATACATATAAGCAATTTTCCGAAAACAAAGCAATATTTTAGTTAATTTCCAGTCAAGGACCCATTCGCACTCTGAGCACACAAAGTTTTGAGGGGATGATCGTTTTTGAGATGCCATTGATCCTTCCAACTGGTATCATTATCGAGAAATCAATCAAAAGTCAAATTCTCTTAGACTACATATTTGATTCTTTGAATTCGAGTGGATGGCGAGTAAACAAATCATCGCTTCCGATGGGCTATCTCACCGATATCGTCCAAGGGATCTTCTGGACAGGAGCACTAGAGTTGGACAGTGAGTGAGACTCTTTTCCTCTTTGATTGAGTTCATTCAAAACAAGACGGAAAGATAGGCGCTATTGAGCCAGACGCAAAGAGAGTTGGCTAGCTTTGGTTGTTATAGAACCGCTGAGAATACATAAAACTTATTATCCAAGAGCCCTCTATGCTAAATTCAATATCTAGTCGTTAGCTATTGGGTTGGTGAATTGAAACCTGCAGGACTTTGAACTAAAATTTATTGAAAATAAAACCATCAATTCATTCCAAATAATTTCCATTATTATTGACGACTTTTGCCCATTTTACAGGCAATTTGCGGATTCCTCTTTCGTAGTAGGATTTTGGTTTGTGTGTGAGACAAGTGTGAGGCTCAAAAATGGAGGACTGGAGATGTCCCAGTTTGAGCACTTTCTTCAAAAGAAACCCATTTTGGTGTCAATGGAAAAGTTGTAGAGAATCAAAAATTAGGCTTATAGCCAAATTTCCAAAAAGATACACTTAGTAGTTTCGCTTAAAATGCAAGTTTTGTGAAAATTCGTAAATTTGGCATTTCTTGAAAACCAGTTTTTGAATGGTTCTGAAAATTTGGATATAAGCTTAGTTTTTGATTCTCTACAACTTTTCCATTGACACCAAATGGGTTTCTTTGAAGAAAGTGCTCAAACCGTCAGATATGACAATAGCCCGCAGTTTTCAATTCACCAACCCAAAAGAACTGCGGAGAATATATAAAACTTATTATCCAAGAGCTCTCTATGCTAAATTCAATATCTAGTCGTTAGCTGCTACACCAATGACATCTTGTCTTTGTATTAAGTTGGAAAGAAAGTTCTCGGAAACTGAAATACTGCTGGAAGGGTTTTTCAGAAGTGTCACGTACAGGTCCTTGAATTTTTCCAAGATTGGAACGAATTCTTGATTTAGCTATTCTATTTTGTAGTATTTATTAAGAACTTTCAAATGATGTAGGACACTCGGAGTACTCTCTTCATTGTCTTCTTTTAATTCATCAATGAGCATTCATTTCATAATTTTGTCGCACCCTGCAAAATATTAAGTTGGAAAGAAAGTTCTCGGAAAAAGTTTCACTGGAATTTCTTTAAAACAAATCCACGAATGACTGAATGACATAAAAAATCAACAGAACTGTGGAGATTGCTGGGCATTTGCGTATGTCTCAAAAAGGCTTTTGAATTTGTAGTAAGAAGCTTTAGTACAAAATCTAATGGATCTAATTTTCTAATGGACTTGAGCAAACCAGAATTAAAAAGCTGAAAGATTTACTACAAACTATTAGATTGGAAGGGAGTTCTTAGAAAAGGTTTAACTGGAATTTTTTAAAAACGAATCCACTAATTCAAGAACATTTTGCTTTATTATTTACAAGTTAACTCCAAGTAATTACTCGTAAAAAGAATGAGTGCAGCTTTCTCTTAAAATTTTGAACTTAAAAACTGAAATATAGTCAAGCTTATCAAAAATCTAGAAAGAATTCATGGCTTTGTTTTTGAGAAATCACCGTGTAAACATTTTCCGAGAACTTCCTTTCTACTAATAGAACTAATAGAAGAACACCAGTTATCGGGGCCCACTTGTAGTTACAAAAGTAAAAGAAAAAGTAGATTTCCGGAGAGGGGATTGAACCCTCGACCTTTTGCTTTTCGAGCAATTGCTCTAACCATTGAGCTATCCAGTACCTTAACTTGCAAGAGAAAGCAGGAAAGACAAGGGGGAAGAAAAAAGAAAAAAAGGAAGAGGATTATGTGGGGAGAAAAGAATATTGCTCATATCGATTGCTATTAATAATTGATGAGTTCAACTTTTCATCTAAGTACTAAATTAGTCACTCATGAGATCAGCTAATTATTATAGATTGGAAAAGCACATTTGGAAAAGCTTTAATCTTGATACTGACCTATTCAGAGTCTAGCCATTTTGGTGTATTTTCAGAGGAAGTAGTCGGCGATGTGCTCGTGATTGGACTCGGCGCCGGAGGAGTGAACAACTTTCTCTCGACTTCTTTTCCAAATGTGAGCCCAATCTATCATAATTAGCTGATCTAGTGATTTCAACATGGACCTATTTCCTTGACTATTTTCTTATCTTTATTATTTTCCAGTTAAATCTGACCATGGTTGACATCAATCCATCCACCAAAACGATGGTCATCGAGCAATTTGAGGTGATCGAAAACGGGAAGACTCGCATAATTATCGAGGATGGCGTCAAGTACATTGATGAGCAAGTGAAAGCAGGGAAATGTTAGTAAAAATATTAGCGCTCAAAAGTATATAACCAGTCGAGAAAAATACTCCTGTTTTATACATATTTGATATATATATCGTAGCCGAATGTGATTCTCAGTTGAAAGTGATTGGCTCACAAGTCTGAATCAGAACAAGGTTGGGCGAAAAAGTCAAAAGCCATGGCCGGCCAGCCCAAGACAAGGCCAGCCGAAGAGCCTTGGTTGGGAAATGGCCCATCCCGCATATAGCCCGAACCTTGCCCCAAGTGATTATAATCTATTCCCATCGATGAGCAACAAGCTGGTTGCGCAGCACTTTGATTCCGAAGATGACGTCAAAAAGTGGCTGACGCAAGTGACTGTGAACTTTTGAAGGAAACGTCAATGGGTGGCACCCAAAGCGACACCCGAGCCAAATCCGAAGTCTGAATTGCACCAGAACAGGGCTGGAAGAAAAAGCCAAAAGCCATGGCCGGCCAGGCCAAAGCCAGGCCAGGTAAAGCCAGGCCAGGTAAAGCCAGGCCAAGCCAAGACAAGGCCAGGCTAGGCCAAAAGCCATGGCCTTGACCTGGGTTTTTGTTGTTGCTAATTTTGACGATCTTGACGCTGTTACATTTGTTTTGTTTCTTAGATAGATAAATGATTCTTGACACTATTGTAATTAAAACTAAAGCAAATTATCATTATCACACATTAAACATTATCATTTTACGACTAAATTGGCGACTTTCGAAAACTGGTTTGCTAGGCCTGGCCTGGAAAATGATCTCTTCGTCCAGCCATGCACCAGAAGAAGTTTAGGCTATTCTGGAATATCTTTAGAGATATTTGACTATAGAAATGGAAGTGCTAAGCATTCTAAAAACTTGATGAACCAAATCATAACTATAGGTTTTATTATATGATTGTCATGAAGATTTAAGTGCAAAAACACGTTTAGCTCAATTATTCGATGCAATAATTGTTGATGCTTGTCACAACGACTTTCACCACCCAATCATTTGCCCGATTGATGAGTTCACGAGTGATGGGATACTTGGACAAATCGAGAAGTTGTTGAAACAGAATGGTTAGGCAGGGGAGAGAAGGGAGAAGACATGTTTGCTTTCCGGAGATTTAACTCCCAAACATCAATAGGTCACTTTTGGCTTTAGCTTTAGCTTTTCAACTATTTGATTGACCATTTAATTGGCCATTTAATTTAAGGAAAGCCCTTTGGAGAGTTATAGCCAAGCAAAAAGTCGAGGGTTCAATCCCCTCCGGAAATCTACGGAAAACTTGCCAATTCTTTCACTTCTTTATTACGTTCTGACGTTGACATTGACATTGACGTTGACATTGACTTTAGCATTGACATTGACGTTGAAATTAACATTGACGTTTGCGGAAGTCAATAAATAGTCAATAATCTTTTCTATAGCATTATTCTCCCTTAGTTTGGATCTTTAAAAAACCCTGATTTAGGTGTGCTCATCGTGAATGTTCTAACATTTGATCTCATTCAACAGCGAGAGACATTTGATCGGGTACAAACGCTTACACTCACTATGATGCTTTTCAGGTTTTAAATTCTCATGCAAAAGTGTTTGGAGAAAGGGCGTGCACAATGAAAATTGTGGAGGATTGGGAAAATCGGGTGAGTTGCGTGATTACAGTCGAACTTTAACATTATATAAATAAGGTAACAATTAACTATACGGATTTAAATATCATAAAATTATATAAAATGACCTTTTGTTGACCGAAAACCTTGTAAATAGTACGCACAGTTTCGGCGCGTAACAAAATACAAAAACAAAGTAAACAAAACAAAGAATACTTCAATTAAGAAAGACAATTCGTTTTTGACTCCTAAAGTACAGGGTGCGTCGTTCCCGTACTTGTACTTTCTACATTTTTTGGTAATTTTAGATCAAAGATACGATTTTAAAAGTAAGAAATTCGAATTCCTCGCAAAAAACTGATTTAGAAAACGTTTCTGGTTAATTTATAAGTGCAACGCTATTTAAGACAAGTGATGGAGAAGATGGTCCGTTTAGGGGCGCTCTGGTCGCACATTTTTTTGGGGCTTCAGGCCTGTAACTTTTATGGATCAAAAGATTTTCAAGAGCCAAGATGTTTTTCGAAAACTAGATATAAAATGTGACATTTTTTATATTGGGTATATAAAGTTTTGGTCAACGATTGAGTCGGAAGTCAGGTTAGAACTTGGTTTTCCCATACAAATTTCCATCAAAGGAAATAACTGTGCCCTGTAACTGTGCCCTGTAACTGTTCCCTGTAACTGTTCCCTGTAACTGTTCCCCGTAACTGTTCCCTGTAACTGTTCCCTGTAACTGTTCCCTGTAACTGTTCCCTGTAACTGTTCCCTGTAACTGTTCCCTGTAACTGTTCCCTGTAACTGTTCCCTGTAACTGTTCCCTGTAACTGTTCCCTGTAACTGTTCCCTGTAACTGTTCCCTGTAACTGCACTTATAAATTAACCAGAAACGTTTTCTAAATCAGTTTTTCGCGAGGAATTAGAATTTCTTACTTTTAAAATTGTATCTTTTATCTAAAATTACCAAAAATGCAGAAAATGCAAGTACGGGAACTTTTGGCGCACCCTGTATAATATAATTAAAATTCTGATAGTTTCTTTGTCCTTCATAGACCCAATTATCCTTAGATATGTCTTATAAAGTTAGAATTTTCTTTTTATGATCATTTTAAAACATATTGGATCTTTCTTTCATTTTAATCATCATTTTGATCATTTTGATCATTTAAAAATATAGTGAATCATTTTCAGGTTCTCTTCTGTAGCCGATCCTCTCGACTAACAGTTCAAAAGCATGAGGAAGTCAAGAAAAAACTCGAGGAGTTCTTCGGGAAACAAAAGAAAAACGAGATCCCATTTTTTAAAGGCTACAAAATGCAAGAAAAAGATTTATGATAAAAGTTTCGACTTTAAATATCTTTGAAAATCAAAATCAAAATACTTTGACTTTGAATTTCACAGATTCCATGCGAAAATTTGGTCTATTCACTGGGTTTTATTGTCTAAAATCGGAAATTGATCCAAATTTCCAAATTTCAATGAGTTTTATGATCTCGAAACGTTGGCTTCTTGTAGTTTTCTGCAAGGCGGATTTTGGTGGACTACATTTTCGGAATCAGCACATTTTTTGGTTTAGAAAACGCAAATGTCAGTGATTTTTAACAGAGAACGCACTTTTACATTATTTGCCGGATGTGCCATGTTGACATTGACATTGACATTGAGATTGACATTGACATTGATGTTGACATTGACATTGATATTGACATTGACATTGACATTGAGATTGACATTGACAAAAATGCAAAAAAAATATTTGCTAGCAGCCGGATTTTTGATTTATAAGAAAACGTGTTTTTACTATACTGTGATCGATGTTAATGTGTTAATGGTGCTGAGAATTAGAGCCTTCAAATAATATCTAATACATGCTACTTTCTATAGAAAGTTTCCTTTTTGGGAAAAGAATGGTTTTCCCAAAAAACTGGTTGTGATAATTTTGGACCACCCGGTATTCAAAAACCCATTTTACGAGCGATTTTTTTTTCCGACCAAAACCCAAATCAATTTCTCTTTCTTTAAGGGATCAAATCTTATCTCTTTTTGCTTTCTGACATTTTTTTAAAGCCATGCGTTGGAAGGGAATTTTTGCTGAAGGCGATTTCTTTGAAACAATTTCATTTCCCAGCTCAAAAAGATCTAAAAGATCTATAAATAGGACTTTGATTTGGCCGGAGAAACATTTTCCATTTTTTTTCCATTCCAATTTGCTGAAAATGCTTCGATTTCTTATGTCTTTCGCTGTTTGTGTTGTTCAGTTTGAAGGTAAACACTGATTTGAGGGGAAAATCTGTATCAAAACTTTTGCACAATAATTATGCCAAGTTTTAGTGTTACTTTATAGTTTATATAGCAAACTGGATAGCATTAGAAGTTTTTATGCTTTCCAAAGTGAAGATATTCAGGGATGCTGGGCAGGGATGTGCGGATCTGGAGCCGGATCTGGAGCCGGATCTGGATCTGGAGCCGGATCTGGATCTGGATCTGGAGCCGGATCTGGAGCCGGATCTGGATCTGGAGCCGGATCTGGATCTGGAGCCGGATCTGGATCTGGAGCCGGATCTGGATCTGGAGCCGGATCTGGATCTGGAGCCGGATCTGGATCTGGAGCCGGATCTGGATCTGGAGCCGGATCTGGATCTGGAGCCGGATCTGGATCTGGAGCCGGATCTGGATCTGGAGCCGGATCTGGATCTGGAGCCGGATCTGGATCTGGAGCCGGATCTGGATCTGGAGCCGGATCTGGATCTGGAGCCGGATCTGGATCTGGAGCCGGATCTGGATCTGGAGCCGGATTGGGATCCGAATCTAGATCTGGATCCGAATCTAGATCTGGATCCGAATCTAGATCTGGATCCGAATCTAGATCTGGATCCGAATCTAGATCTGGATCCGAATCTAGATCTGGATCCGAATCTAGATCTGGATCCGAATCTAGATCTGGTTCCGAATCTAGATCTGGATCCGAATCTAGATCTGGATCCGAATCTAGATCTGGATCCGAATCTAGATCTGGATCCGAATCTAGATCTGGATCCGAATCTAGATCTGGATCCGAATCTAGATCTGGATCCGAATCTAGATCTGGATCCGAATCTAGATCTGGATCCGAATCTAGATCTCTACACATGCATACAAAGAACGAAAAGACAAATACGCGACACTCCAATAGACAGTTCATAGTACTATCTCTTAGTCGTTTTTTCGTTCTTTGTATGCTTGTGTAAAGATTTGGAATCGGATCCAAACCCCTCTGGTGCTAGATAACTATCTAGTTTAGTCATTCGAGGCTTTTTACGGTAGCTATTAGTCGTGTAAACTAGTAGATAATGTAATTTGGAAAGTTTTAAAGTTTATTATAAAAATCTAGCCTCTCCTTTGAAAGAAATCACTTTTCATCGATGGAAAATAAATGAAT